ACACACACACACACACACACACACACACACACACACACACACACACACACAACAGGTTATTCAGGTCTATAAAGTAACATGGCGTGTGGGACCTGAGTAAAACATTTTAGTGTACAGTGATGAGTGATTGCAGATTAACAATAGAGACTCTGTCAGGAAGGGAGGAATAATTCACCTTGACACAACAAGGACAAACKGTGTGTGTCTGAGCAAACCAGTGACCTCTACTACACTGGCAGGACACGGCTCGGTCACTGCCAGGTCTGATCTTCTGGGTCAGATTTCATTAAGACCAGATCTGCTTTAGTCCAACCTCACAAATACACAAATACAGCTCCAAGYGCTGTTTCAGCCTCAACAAACTCAAAGGAAAATGATTTATAACAGCAAAAAGCACACTAAACATATGGAAAACATACAAAAAACCTTTTGTAAGTTAATAAAATAGGTCTTAGTTAAAGTGCTATGTTTTTTTTTCTTTTTTCTTGTTGCTAAAATTACTAAGGTTGCAGGGGGAAACAAGCATGCTTTAAAACAGCTTTGTTCAGTTTATTAATTTACACAGTTCACAATTGTAGCTCAAGTCAAAAGCTTGCAAAGAGTTAATAAAAATTAAAACACACAACACAAACAGCCACAGCTGACTAGCCTTTTAACATGACAGAATTATGACCTGATWAAAGACGTGGAGGCTATGTTAGCTGTAGCATTTAAAGGTCGTGTTACTAATTATTTCAACCAGGAAGTAAAATGTAGAAAACTCAAAGCAATCTCAGCTAAGTCAAACACTTTACATTTGTGATTAAACAGCAATGAGCAAACATTCTAGCACTCACCTTTCTTTTTAAGTACCTTCGTTGTTTAACACTGTCCCAAAAAATGTTGGTGCTACTATTCTGAACCCACCCGTGCTCTTCTTCTCCTCACRTCTGCCTGCGCAACGGTTTTCACACTCCCTAATACTACTGGACAAGCGAAACGTCAATCAAAACRTGGTCCAATAAGGAACGGGAGGCGGGATGATTGTGGCATTTGGTTTCAATCATGAATTTTATTCTATCACGAGGATTAAAACAGAAAGTGATAGAAAAAACATTTATTTATTTATTTATTTATTTATTTTGTTTTACAAATTAATTATTTACATAATTTTGATATTCATACTGTATATATTAGAATAACCCAAAATGCTTTACCAAATAACATTTTTTTGATGTGCGGATTTCAGCATAATTTTGCAAAACATTCATATCTTGTGTACTACCTGCTGCCAAAAGTGAAAGGACAATGTTTTTGACCATGTCAGTTTATGTGCCTGTTAGCAAAATATCTCATGAACCAATGGATGGATTTGATTGAAATTCTCAGAAAGTAATCATTATATGTACATCTACCTCTGGTTACCTGGTAGAGCCATTCAAGATGGCTGCCACAGCTAAATAATCCCACAGATAAAGGCCTTTCAGTTTATTAGATATTGAGACACAATTTCATGTGGTTGTAGCTGAGAATAATTTTCTTAATCCTGAAGTTTTAAAAACTGATCTGAACAAATCAGTTAGTAACTGGGGTATGTGTTAGGAATGAGTTAGTCTTGCCAGCTGCAAGTGTAAACAACAACAAATGTTTTTACAAGCATTTGAGGAACAAAGTCCAAATTAAAAATTTAAAAAGTTTGTAACCAGAAGATGGCGCCATTTACTTGCTGAYACTAAATTATTATGCCATGGCATGGATCTACCCAGGTTTACTTTAAATAAACAAATAAAAACGTATAAAAGCTGCAGCCTGCGTAAGAACTGATGACATACTTTGCAGATATGTGTGTGTGTTTGTGTGTGTGTGTGGGGGGGGGTTGTTTCTGGTGACATTTG